GATGGAAGGGTTCGTCTCAAAAGGACAATTGCGATGACAACGAATGTTGGTCTGACTGTATTGCAAACAACAATGTCGGGGGCACCTGCCAGAACAAACAGTGTGTCTGTTTCCAGTCGTAGTGTGTATGTGAGTAATAGCTAGTGCTAATAAAGGCGTTAAAAAGGAATTGTATTTTAAATAAAAGACAAAAGCAAATGCTCTCTGTATTCGGTCCATTACACCCCCAACTGGTCTTTGAAAGTACATTAATAAAATGTGTTAATTTCCATTTACAGTAGTAATTTTTTAATCGTGTACACATGTAGTCCCTGCTTCTCTGAATTCTGATTATGTAAACCCTCGGAAAAAGGGAAGGAGAATTTTATGTTCCATTCTAACGATAATTGCTTTCCAGTTTAAAATGAGCATGCTTATTTTATTATTTTTTTTCAGGCATCGACCTGAGATTTCAAGACATTCTGCATATTCGGAATGACCTGTTGTGCGATTTATTGTACGTCTGCAGTTATCGGATGTTATAATTGCTCATTAATATACAAAACTAAAATATTGTTAACAAGAATGTATTTAAAGTTGTTCTTTAAGCAAATAAATCACTGCATCTGATGTCTCTGTGGTGTCCTAATGTTACATAAAAATTGGTCGTAGTGATCAGAGACACTTGGCAGCTTTCACAAGTCTCGGTCCTTCTCTGTTTTGATCGTTTATTGACATTTTAACCGCGTTTACTTTGGGTTTGATGCCGTTTGGAAAATAATTTGGATTTACTCTTGTCATCGGTCACAAAGTTTTACCCATTGGTATGAAAATTCAGGTACATGGGGTATGACCGGTGTTTCTGTGGCAAATGGAATTCCCTTCATTGGTGGTAGTAAGAACTCATGATATAGGGCAGAGAGCAGCCGCCTTAATTATTTCAAAATACCCAAGGCTATACACTGTTGCAGTTTAAACTCATAAATGTCCAAAGAGCGCTGTGATTACCATTACACAGAAAACTGCGTTACATAAAATTACCATTGTTTTTCCTGCCATAACTGTAAAACGCATGGTGTTGCACTCCTAAAAGAAAAGGCTAATCAATTATGTAGTGCTTAAACAGGCCCATAGCCAGCAATTTTAAAAGGGTGATTCTTTTTTTTTCTTAAAAAGTGGACCTTTTACCATACAACCTTCATACTTAGATGAAATTTACCTGGAGGGGACCTTTTCCCGGCGAAAAGGGGGATTTCTTTCGCACCCCTCTGGCTACGGGCCTGTTAAACCATCCATCAGATTACGAGAGAGAGAGAGAGAGAGAGGTGGGAGAGGGAGGGAAAGGGGGAGAGAGGTGGGTGAGAGAGAGAGAAGGTGAGGGGCGTAGAAAGAAAGAGAGAGAGAGAGAGAGATGAGTAAGAGAGAGGGGAGAGAGAGAGAGAGAGAGAGGTGAGAAAGGAGGAGGCTTTCATTTAATTCATTATATACTAGGGTACAACGGCCGTTGACGTCAGTGGTGCAAGTTCCATCAGTTGATTGCATTCGTTCTACGCTAGCGGGAATCAGTTGATTAACAGATCCAGTGGGTAAATAGGAGAGACCGGGGCTACCTGGACCCCGGGGTAAGTTGGAACCCCATCAAGCCTCTTTAATAAAGTTACTTTAAGATGCTAAATTATTTCATTTGGACTCTTTCTTAACACTATTTTTGGACGCTTTCTTAGCACTGTTGGATACGGCCACTTTACAAAATGATGTGGTCAATTCTTTTACCCCATAGTTACTTTGTCATAAATTGATGGGGGTCCAACTTACCCCGGGGTCCAACTAGCCCCGGTCTCCCCTAACAAACATCAAATTCAAATTCTGCTTGACAACGGACTAGCACAATATGTGCAGCAAAGTTTAAAATTACATGCATATCCAATGTGCTAAGAAAGGGAAACAGAATTGCAATAGATTAGCCAATGCATCTGCTATGATTGAATCTAATGAAGGCTATTACAATATGGTTAACTATGGGATAGTGGTCAAAAATGCAAGAAAGACTTTTCTAAACTAACCACCAAACTGCCTCAAGTAAATAAATAGAGAACGTCCTCATAACTCTAACTGAAGCATAATGCGGTCAAGTAATTAATTTAAATGAAAAAAAAAATACAAATAAAACATTTTTACTTACCTTGACTTCACATAAAATCAATGGAGATATATCAATATGTGTCAAACTAAGCTCCTGCAACATTCAAGGCCACAAGCTTGAAAAAATCAAAAAATATATATATACCAAACATTTATGTATATTGATTCATATCAACTTATATTTAATTCAACTTCGGTCCTAAAAACATATAACATCCTGTAATCAACAAAACAGCATAAATAACTGTTTTCGATTTGCTGACAACCGCGAAAACAAAAGCATTAAGTAAAACAACATCTGTTTCAGGTATGAATCAGAAAGCTAAAGTATATAAGGGTTGATTCCAGACAAATACAGTGGTGTCCACAATATTTCAAACATATACATTCCACAACATATCATTTCTATACTGGTTTATTGGAACGCGATATAAAGATATTTGCTTTACAAAATTGAATACAACTTTGAATTCATTCAATTCCTTATATATTTCTTGATGAAAAATGCACTTCTATATTGGGCAGTGTATGCCGTGGGTTTTCATATTAAACACTGAATTATTTATGTCAAGGTTAAGGTCAAGTTGTTACTATTATAAGACTGACCAAGGGAAATGGCAACATAATTAAAGGCAGCCGCCCAATCAGAAAAGTCAAATGTCATAGCGCTCTTGGCCAGCATCAAAAATTGATTAAATAAATAAATCACACTTTCAGGATTTCGATTTTGTAGGGTGTCTAGACACCCTACAAGAAAGAACAGATAAAAGTTAATCTGTAAAAACTAATGGAATAATGCCGTTATCTCGGTCACTCGATCAGCATAACTCTCTTTCTCTTTTATTTTAATGTTCTAATAAAACGTTGAATTATTGTTTCATGCCTTGCTATGGCGGTTGTCAAAAAGGTTATGCAAAGTACTGCAATGGTGTGACTATCTGCAGTCTGATTTGTAAGGAAATGGTTGGATCAGATACTTCATGGTACCTGCATAATGCACTTTTTCATTTGTCATGTAACCGGTATATTATGGACAAAATTACGAAACACTCTTGTATCCTAGCCATCGAAATATAAAGATAGTACTAATCTAGATCTACATGTCTTTTTTCAGACCTGCTGTACCATGCGTATTATAATTGTACTAGGCGTGTGTGTTTTCCTCTATCTGGTTACTGCTGAGGATAAATACTATGACAGTAAGTGGCTTCCCCGCGTGAAGATTGGAATCACGGTGTTGTCAGTTAAATGTCTATATAATGTAATGATCCATATTGTATACACAAATAATCAAAGGTAAAAATGACAATAATTAAAATAGTTTTAACTGTACTTGCAATAGTGAAAGAGAGAGAGCGAATAACAACATCATTATTCTGAACTAGCAAACACTAAACTTGATTTTGTATTACCGATCTCTAGACCCTTTGAAGAGTTTAGCAGAGCGTGAAGAAGAAGAGGTATACGACGGTCAATTTCAGAGTTGGTATAAAAATGAGATTGAAAAACGTAGTCCGGGAATACAACCTTCGACTGTGGAGCAGTTTAAAATAGACAAGCGGGACGAAAATAGTGCCATATCGAACACAGAGAAGGAAACCCGTGCACAAGCGACCATGCACACAATGGGAGGTTAGATAACCAGGTGCTTGTACCGGTAGGTATGATTTGTTGGTCAATGGAATAAAAGTATTAATCATTGTCAAAATCCACGACCTTATAATATCAGCGTCACAGTTGTTCAGCAATAAGGAATAATAATTTTCCACATACAAAGGTAGCCGGAATTACATGCTGCCGATTCTTAACGTTTCATTACGGTGTGATTGGGGGAGGGGCACTTTCAGAAATTCATTCCAATTAATAGTGTATCTGAGTTTTTTTTAAACTAAATCATCTCATGTCCTTTTTTCAGGCGTCGACCTAAGAAGACTTAAGCCTATTCAGAGAGGACCGTATTTCGATTTAAAATGCATATTGAATTATAAGCTGAAATAAACGCATCAGACGGCTATGTTCATGTACTTGTGTTTAGTTTATTTTTCGTTTATCATTCATTTGACTTTTTTTTCTGTGGAGCACAACTGCAAACCTCATTCAAACTGGTTGTCTATTACATTTCAAGAACAAATGCAACATATTTCTAAGGGACCATCCATTTTTTATCATTTCACAAGTCTACAAAGAATACAGAGAGAACAGAGTGGAAAAATGAAAACGCTTGACGTGTGCGGGTCGGGGAGGCGTGTTTAAAAAAGTTAAGATGATTGCACTTTTTTTTTTGATTGAAGCGAAATCCCTCACAGGTTTGGACTGACTCAACTAGCATTATATGTCTAACTGGATGGGGTTTAAAAATAAAGTGTGTGCAACCCTCTATACAGACAGAATAGGTACATGTACTGGCGATTAAGAGATATTGACCCTACATGTCCGTCCTTAATTCTTTATAGTTCAGGTACCCCGTGATACTTGACATTGACTTTGGATTAACTGCTTCATTGCAGAACACAAAATGGAACATAACGGGTAGCATTACGTTTTCCAATCAAAGTGGATTTTTTCATGCATCACGTGTATTTTTTCATTTCCGGCTGCTTATTTCCAATACTTTAAGCAATCAGTTTATTTTCATTGCAATCATGAAATTGGTAATGACTGTCCTGATAATGACTTGAACATACATTCAACAGAGAGCCGGAGTTAGTAGGCTTTAGGAAGTGAAGCGGTATGTCACAAAACAAAACAGAATTAACTCAACGAAATATAGTGATCAGTTACAGTAAAAAAGACAATTGATCAATTTTCTCTGTAGGATCCAATAATGGTTTAATGGCAGGAAATAGGTCCTACAATCAGATGTACATATAATTGTCCGGGAAATGTATATAAAAAAAACTATTACTGTGAACTTAGAGACGGAGATACGCTTCGTGCCGTTGTACACCGATACAAAGGATCCAAACGTAAGTAACAGATATATGCACAAACGCTCTTTTCTCCCAATATCTTTCTCTTTATGTCATCTCTATCTACCCTCTCTCTTTCTCAGTTTCTTTCTCTTTTTGTCATCTCCCTCCCTCTATCTCTTCTTCTCTCTCAATTTCTTTCTCTTTCTGATCTCTCTCTCTCTCTCTCTCTCTCTCTCTCTCTCTCTCTCGCACTCTCTGTCACCTCATCAATATAAAACTGATGTTGCAGCTTACTTTTCAGGAGCAAAGTTTGCCCATCATGCAGGTTATAACTGCACTTAGTGCGAGCGCTTTAATTAGCCTGGTGGTCGTTGTTTGTGCCCACGGGGATCACGGGGATCATGGTAAGTTCATTGTTTTTGAAAAATATAAAAAGAATAACTCCATGCCTATTTAGCGCAAGATAGTTATATCCACTTCAAAAAATTGAACAAAGTCAAATGTTAAAACATACAAAATAATACCATGCATTTATCTTAATCCTACCTCACAGAAAGAGTTGCATGACTCTGAAAAATTGGCCGAGATTATCGCAAGGTCTTCACAACAAGGCCTTGGCAACGTCGCCAGTAACCTTTTTAAACAATAAGTTTCCAGGCTGGATAAATAAAATATTCACAGAAGTTGTGCACGAGGCTTGTAGGTTTTTTTTTTTTTCTTTTTTTTTTTTCATGCAAAGTGCATTTCTAATAATCACGGGATTAATTTTGAGTCGCACTGAACCAATAAATAAGGACCAACCCTCGTAATTTTGTTTGTGTGCGTGTGTATGAAACCGACCCTCTTTTTAACTTGTCACAATATTTAGGAATTGTAAGGATTGACATTTTCTCTGACATTTTCTCTTTAAATTGACATTTTCTATTTAACGTAGTATCGTTGACATATGGACATCATAATATCGACAAACGAGACGCACGCAAGATAGGTACCATTGAAAAGCAAGACTTGGCAACATTGAGCCGAAACAAGCGCGAACAGCACGTTGAGGATCAACAGCTTGAGGTTGAGAAGAACAAACGAAATGTCGACAGAGCCAGTCGGCTTCCCCTAAGTGTGGACAAACGACATGATCGCCACTCCCACGGTGAAGGGCACCGTTTTAGTGGGTGCGATCACAATAACTGCTGGGTTTACTGCATGAGGCGCCAAGATGATCGTATTGGGGGGCACTGCCAGAGCGGACGATGTGTCTGCTTCAAGCCGTAGACCACAGGTTAGTATACGTCATCCATGTTGTATCTATTCCCATAATTTAGGCAAAAGTTCGATTATCCACTGTCAATTTATGTTTACGGCTGCATGGCGTTACGTTTCAGCGTTATTTTGGTAACTGATAAATCTAATTCAATTTGGTTCATATATCAATGATGCAGAATTTGAGTATTTATGAAATAGGGGTCATACCGGTGTATATTCATGATATTTTTAACACGTAAATAGATAAATTATAACATGGTGAAATAAGCATACCTTTCTAACTGTAGATTTTCAAATTACCTTTTCTTTTCAGGCGTCTCCTTGAGAAGACATGAAAGCATACTTTCAAAATGATCGTCGCAATTTAATGGAATTAATGTTAAAATAAAACATTTACATCGCTTATTCATTGCAAACAGTGTTCACGAATCTAATTACAAATCCAATCCAGCTTCTACAGTGTATATGTACAAAAGTTTTTTTTTTATCTTCAAGATTCAAAATCCCCTGAAATTTTATACTTTTACTTAAAGTCCTTCTTCTTTTTCCACCTATATTTAATGAATGACTTACAAAATGCTTAAAGATTAAACTTAGCAATCATAATATTGCATTCACTATATTATGTTAATAAATTGTGTCCTTTGCGTGGGTAATCATGACCTGTCAACAAAATAACAACGTTGAAGGCAGTATATTTGATATGTCAGGATAAAGTGTACATCTTATATTTATAGAATCGGTGGAAAGAAAATAAATTTATAGCTTTACTGGCTACTACTGCATACACTGAAATAACTTCATAATTTTAAAGTTCTTTCTTTAGTAGTCACATATGATGCAGTACCTGAATACATTTTCTCCGATCTCTGTGAAGTAACATTCAGCGCTGTTGAGCAGTCGTACATGCACATGTACTAAATACAGTCACGTTGGATAAATAATGCTAATGCTGTTCGCATATCATTTTGTGTCTAGAATTATCAAAAATCAGAAACACGAAACCTCACACAAGTGTCATTCCCACCAAGTTATGACAAAATATCTCGAAATGAATGGGATCATAGACATTTGAATTCATGTGTTGACATCATTTCATCCAAAGTTTTTTTCCGCATTGCTTTGTTTGAAGAACCAAAATATCTGACAACTCGCTTTTAATATCTAACGACTGCATTTATTCCTAAAAAGAATCCTCAGCTATTCATAGAATCATATGGAGATTCTGTATAATTAATTCTGTAATATCAACATAAATGAGTTATATTGCAATTTTATTGAAATTACTTTCTGCAGTAGGTTGCTCTTATTATTCATGTCATTACACCAAATAATTGCACCCAATATCTTCTTTCTAGATCCGTTTACTAATTTTCAATCTCTCAGTCATATTTTCCTTGCAATCTAGTCAAATTACGGTACCTGTAAAATAAACATTACGTAGCAATAACAGACCATTTCAATCTGGCTGATTGAATATATCCTATTGTAGTTCTCAATAAAAATGAATAGATACCTACGATGAAAACTGAATATTCAGTTAATACACATACAATTTACTGTTAGTTGCAATTAAGGATAATTAGAAAGAACACTAATAAATGTACTTGGTAGCTGGATATTACGAGTGATTTGAAATGACCCACGAATTCGAAGGCCCACATTCGTTCCCTTGAAATCCCGATTCAGGGGCCCGTCGTTGTCCTGATGGACTCACGTGCTTCATCCGGGACGCAAGGGCCCAAGATAGGAAAGGAGGGGCATTAAAAGACAAAACGTGTGCCTGATAAAAGGAATAGAGGTGACGCGACTTTTGTAAAAAATCAGGGGCTAGGTCGTTGTCGTGAAGGACTGACGTGCCTCATCCGGGACTCGAACCCGTGACCTTGCGTTACCAAGGTTGATGACGCTTTGGATGTCTCATTTGCATCCTTGCACGCTACCGACTGCTCCGTGACAGACCCGCCCACCCTCCGTACGTGCGAGTTTCTTCTTAAAGTAATCAATGGCAATTTTGAAGAAGTCAATTCTGGCAAAAAAAAGAATGACACAGTAGCTCCTGTGACTCGAACCAGCGTCCGAGTATTTGTCTGTATGCCAGGCAGCAGAATCAAAACAACTTGGATCGTATTCATTGATAGGCCTGCTCTGTATGTTCCTAGTAATACGACTTCGGAAGTTTTTTTTTTTTTTTTTTTCCTTTTTTTTTGGTTTTGCGTTGAGAGAACGCTTGGTTTCACCTTTGACGTTGTAGAGCACGAGGACGGCCACAGCTGTTCACACCTCTGCGGTTTTAGTATTGAGTAGTCTTTACTCTTTCCAATATCGACTGCGGACTTGCCACGGTACTGTATGGTCATATGAACAGTCTTGAGAAGCAAGGGCCCAAGATAGGAAAGGAGGGGCATTAAAAGACAAAACGTGTGCCTGATAAAAGGAATAGAGGTGACGCGACTTCTGTAAAAAAAAAATCAAAAGTTTTCTCTCTTCTAATCCCACCAAGAAGAAAGCACTTTTTTATGAAATGCAAGCCATACGGAGTTAGTTATAGCTCAATTTAAGTTCAAGATCTTTGGCACCAATATAAGGACTTTTAACTGAAGAGAAAGGAAATATAATTGTCGACGCAGATGTAAACTGTCTAAAGTATACCGTATTATTAGGCAAAAGGTAATTTGCTAAGTCCCACGAGCGCCCTCATTCGTTCTCGTCTCGTGACATCCCGATTCAGGGGCTAGGTCGTTGTCGTGAAGGACTGACGTGCCTCATCCGGGACTCGAACCCGTGACCTTGCGTTACCAAGGTTGATGACGCTTTGGATGTCTCATTTGCATCCTTGCACGCTACCGACTGCTCCGTGACAGACCCGCCCACCCTCCGTACGTGCGAGTTTCCTCTTAAAGTAATCAATGGCAATTTTGAAGAAGTCAATTCTGGCAAAAAAAGAATGACACAGTAGCTCCTGTGACTCGAACCAGCGTCCGAGTATTTGTCTGTATGCCAGGCAGCAGAGTTACCACGCAGCCACGACAGCTCCGTTGATACGCAGCGATCAGATGGTAACTTTCAACCTCGTCACGGAGAGCGCCAGATTGGGTGTACATGTGCAGGCCTGCTGTCCCAATCGACAATCTGGGAGCCGCCTTTCAGCCCACGCAACCCCAGTCCCCGACATGAACGGTAAACTTCAGTGATGCACACGAAGTCGTGTTTGTCAACCCGACTCAGAGCTCGGAGTTTGTTTTATACTAAGATTGATTTTGGCTTTACCCACGATATTAAAGAGCACAGTGGGATCAGAGGCGGTTTACAACAGACGGGGTTTACTTTTAGCGAGACCATAAGAGGAGAGAATAGAAAAAAAACATTCAAGTAGTCTGTAATTACTGGTGCGATTGCAGCATGGAAATTTTTAGTAAAATATTATTGGCAAATAATTAAGCCGAGGAGATATAGTTTTTCTACCGAACACGGTTAACAGGTGGTATGACGTGCTGTTATACCGTAAAAGCTACAGAATCAAAACAAGGTGAATCGTATTCATTGATAGGCCTGCTCTGTACGTTCGGAACATGAAGTAAAACTACATTTAGAAGTTTGCAATGTTCCTAACTACGCGTGACTGATACATAATTTAAACATCCGTTATACTTCTTCCGCTCCCTGCACTCAGACTGTCCTACTAGCAGGGTAGATCTATCTCGGCATGGACTGTCGTTCAGGCCCAGTCAATGTAATCACCTTAATTTTCTGCCCCCCCCCCTCCCCCCGCAAAGCAATATGAACAACATCATGGACCACAAAATTTTCCCGACTTTACCCAATTACTTTAAGTTACGGGGGATGTGCCCGGCATTTAAGCCGCTTAAACTGAAAGCAATTTACCGAGAATCCCCGAGGAATTAGTTCGATCCAGATAGTACGATAATATTATGGGAACACGACCTCAGACAACAATTACCACGTGAACTATCAATTGAGTTTCCGTGGTGGAGGGTCACGCTCTCTTGGTGCTCTTTTTGTTTTAAAAAGCTTTTAAATACTCAGTACTTATATACTGTTTTAATGTTCCTAAAATGTGTCCGACCGTTTGCTATATGTAATTTGAAGAAACAAAATGTAATTTCCTGTAACAATACATTATTACTATTATTATCATTATTTGAAGGACATAATGGGTTCACATAAAATTGCCGTCTATATAAATTTAAACAAGTACGCTATAAGTACGAGTAAGCATACGCTTTGCTTCACAAAGACCAGGATCATTGTTAGGTACGTTAAAATCTGTTTCCTTTATTTATTATGTTAAAAACACGTTCAAGTGGTTTATCTCTCTCTCTCTCTCTCTCTCTCTCTCTCTCTCTCTCTCGTACAATGTAGTACTCACACAAACATACATGCGGCGTGCACGCACACACACACACACACACACACACACACACACACACACATACTGCAGCCATGGTTACTGTTACACTCATACAATGTTTTCTCTTATAGAATACTCTAAACTCATCATGCGATTTGTGCCTGTGCAAGTGCTGTTTGTTCTGCTCTGTATGGCTGAAGCAACTATTTCTGGTGCAAGAGAAGGTTAGTACTCGTACGCTGTTAATAGGTTAGTACTCTACGACAGTAGAGTTATATGAAATTCAAAAGGTGCGTTTAGAGTAAGTTTGAGACGCGACAACACGATAGCGCATGAAACCAGCATAATTAAAACATCTCACTGAAAGTTAAACTTATTTTTAGCTGTTTAGTTATCAATTTATTTTAGAGCAACAAGTGGAGAGAAAGGAAAAACGTGAAATTGTCCCGTGTGAAAAGCAAGCCGTCTATCATGACAAAGTTGAAAAGCGAGAAGCCAGATCTGCACAGCGTAAGAGGCGTGAGGAGGAGGGATTGTCTCTATGGGCCACGGAGGAAAATTTGCACCGCACCACACGAAGTCAGACCTCGCAGCCCTTCGTTGCAAAGAATTCCCGGGTTAACAAGCGTCAAAGACGCCATGAAGAGGAATTGTTGAACTGGGTCGAATTTCACCACACTAAGCGAAGAGAGACGCCTCGAACTTGGGTTGCAAAGCGTACCCAACATAACAAGCGAAGTGATAATCAGACTGGGAGGCACAGGAAAATTCTCCGTCGCAAGCGGTATGCAACACCTTTCAGCGAGACTGCAGGGGAATCCTGCCGAGACAAACGGGGTGCTGGGGCAAAGAAGGTGCTTTGGACAAAGGAAAAAATGCATAAAGACAAGCGAAGCGCGGGATATGTCACCTCGGTGGAAGATAACCATACCCACAAAAAAGGCGCCGTATTGAAGACTGCGCTGGCGACACCTGTGGGTCAAAATGCAACAAGCACGTGAAAATAGGGGGCGCCTGCATCAATGATCGGTGTGTCTGTTTCCATCGATAATCTGGGAGCACCGTGTATGAATCTGGCAGTGCTCAAGGAATAAAACTTAATGATAAACTCTCCGTGCTTTTGTTTATTGAAAACCAACTTTAATGCGCATGTTCCAGTAGACAAATTCAGACAAATGGTTGATGTGGATGAATTAGTCTCTCTCTCTCTATCATTTTCCGCTCTTTTTTCCATCTACACCGATAAAGCAACGTGTTATTATCATGAATACTGTCTACCTCTCTCTCTCTCTCTCTCTCTCTCTCTCTCATTTTCCACTCTTTTTCCATCTAAACCCATAGAGCAACGTGTTATTATCATGAATAAGTTCTATCCCAACAGTCGCGTTAATTGCTCATTCAGCCATGAAAACAGCAGTTATTGTTTGTACAAAGCTGTTGGAATATTGATATTGTTTAGCAAATTAGATGCAATCGGATATTCAAGTCCATTTCAGCCAATTAAGCTTCCAGTAATAGGAGGAGTAGCTCTCTTTATTATTATTATTATTAATATTATGTAATGTGGACACAGGACGCTACATCATATGGTTTGTATTAAGGTTTATGCAACTGGTATAAAATAATTTATATCGCTTTCCTGGAAGTGTAGTAAAATTGAGTGCAATTCCTTTTCAGAAGTAACTCGATATGTTGCAATGACTAGCGCTGACCTGACACCTAAATTATTGCACTATTTGAACTTTATATGTCGAGTCATGTTATGGCTTTTTTTTTTTTTTTTCATATGTTTAAGCGCAATGCGAGTTAAGTAAAGTGCCATGTAATTATCCTTTCTCCCCAAATGAATATCCTTAACCACCATTAAACTAGATGGGATCATTATTCTGGCAGTATACCTAAATTGATGTTATGTTATATATAAAGCTATAATTTGTAGGTGCTGTAGCTATACAGGGGCTCACAATGTTCCGCCTTAATGTTTACCATACATCCCTTTACCTATGACCGGGAGGACATAACCAAGTGGTGTACTTGTTAAAATAAATCTTCTCCTTCTGTATACGCCCATCATGTCAATAATAGCCATAATCTAAATTCATTCTTTTTTTTTTTTTTTTTTTTTGGGGGGGTGGCAATTTATTGGGTGGTCCTCGTTGGTTCCAAATTCATTGGCCAAGGAGAGACCATTGGATATTAGGGGTTCATCGTCATGTTAATGTATTACAAACAGCGTGTTTGTCTCAAAGGTGCTACGCCAAATTATACATACATACATACATAGAGAAAGACATAGCAATAAATGTATATATTTGACAATTGACCATTAACCCGTGGGACACACGCTATTACACGTAATTACTAACCTTAACGACAACACAAGGCAAATAGTTTGATAGATAACAACTTCAAAAAATACCATGCGCATTAACTTAAAAAATATAGATCATCTGAAGATGAGAGTGAGTCAAAGCAGATACTTAAACATACGTTATCGTAAGTTAGCCATATATGATAATATAGCAGAAAAACCGGGCACTAGCACACCATGGGCAGACGCGTGCACCTATCGTAATGTTAAACGTTATCTTTTTTTTTTATTTCATTTCATTTAATCTTGTTTTTCCTTTTTCCTAATATTTATTTATTTATTTATTTATTTATTTATTTATTTATTTATTTATTTATTCATCTCTATGATACAAGTCAAATTCGTTAACAATTAGATATGCAAATAATGGTACTTTCTTTGGGAAAGGAAATTTCACCTTCAGCGTGTTTATAATGACGTGGTCAAGATCAGGCCCTGATTCACAAAATAATTAAATAAATACAATTAAATAAACAAAATAAATAAATAAACAAAGAACCTAAGTCAAGTCCCTTGGCTGCGAACATAATTGTCAAAGTTACATGGTCCTATCAGGAACAGTGTTACATCACTCTCATGGAAATCCTAGTCAACTGCTTAAGTGTTTTTTTTTCCTGTGTGTGTGTGTGTGTGTGTGTGTGTGTGTGAATTAGGGTCAGGCAATCCGGCAGTCTGGCTCTTAGGTTCTTTGTAAAGGCATATTGATGAAAATGTCACTACCTGTAGTTTATCTATATCTGTTCTAGTAGGCAGGGCGGATAGTAAGAAAGGGATATGGATATTATAAGAAAATAAGCTTATGTTTGATTTTCACCTCGATCAACATTTTGGACATTGACGGGATCAGGATTTTGCCTATGTTTGTGTGTGTCCGTGTGTGTGTGTGTGTGTGTGTGTGTGTGTGTGTGTGTGTGTGTGTTTGCGTGCGAGCGCGTGTGTGTGTTGGGAGGGGCGCAATGAATGGTTTGACAAATATGAATTAAATTGCTAAGAAATGTTTACTGCGATACTCGTATGTACTATACAGGGATGAGATTCAACTTGCTCACTTTCGTCTCGTTTTTCTTGTTTCACTGCTCTCTAGGGAAGGTAGACGAAAGGGTAACTCTGAAGATAATAGAGGGTATTCATTTGGCCTCCTTCCCCTGCGATTCGCAGTTTTTTTTCTTTTTTTAGCCCTAGATTTCATTTGCCACGAGCGCCGTACGTAAAATCTTACACCGACTTTTAAGTGCACGTGTCTACGCGCGGGCTCCGTTCTGTACGTTAACATTATATGCGGCTGCGTGTTATTTCTCTAACATGACCTTGAGGCTTGAGGGAATAATCGGTCAGTGGGGTGAAAAGAGAGCGTATAGCTCCTACGATTCTTAGTGCATGTGGAAACAAGCAAACGCAACACTTCAGATTCATACAATCGAATTACTCAAAGATAAAAAAATTAAACTATTGAAAAATTGTTAATTGTTTTGCCTCCTAAAACCGCCAAAGATGGTAGGCAAAGAGACCAACAACAGGTTAAACCATCATCACAATCAAGTTGCACCAACACTGCCCGTAGGGATTTACTCGCAGTACACATGCTCTGTACGAACATTGCATGGCAAATGCAATCTAGGCTTATTATAGATAGTCCGATTTGCATGGATTGACAAAAATTATTTATCGATGTTTCCGAACTGATCTCGACCGCATCGTCATCCCAGGGTTTGGAGAAGAGTAGTCATAACCAGAACTAATGTACGTATTATTTTTTTCTGGATGCTTTTTTTTCTGTAGGTCCTGTAGAATAACAATCTGTTGTGCAACATACGTGTATGAAAGCACCTTTTAGTGTCAGTTTTATATTGGCATCATCCTCGAATGGTAACCCTCACTTCACGCGGAAAATCGCACAAACTCGTCTCGTATGACGTCAAGTCAAGTCTATCTGAGATGATTTTCGTTTTGATTTCCGAACAATATCAATACATACATGTTACTTGAAGGATTAAAGAACTAAAATAGAAATTTCAAGCAGAATTCATGGTTAAGTGATGTTAAAAAAGCGAGGTGTGCAATCAGTAGCTTTTTTTCCGTGGATACCAAATATTTTTCACTTCCGTTCAACTTGCATTTAGCCAACACATTTAATTTTTTCTGTACTTGTGAATATATATCATTTTTTTCCTTGCAAATAGGATATTTACGAATTATTCCTCATGCAAATAAATGAAAAAGAGACGCAATCGTATTTACACATAATTAATATTTTATTCATTTTTGTAATATATTCGGTCCATAAAATATATAACAGATGATGTGAAAAAAGTGACTTATATTAAGGGAGCCAAGTGTCACTGTGTAAAAAACATCCATTTCGACAGCTCATATAGACGTTTGACGGCTTGATGTCTCTTCGAAGTGGGCGTGGCATATGACTGACAAAATGACGTGAGGAGTGGTGGTTGTGGGTGCATGGTCGTCTTTTTCAGCTGTAATTGTCGGTTCTCCTTGATTCAACTTGAAAGTTTGACTGTAAGAAATGGAAAAAAATATAGATATGAAGTCCATGTCTTGTTTCCAAAAGAGCTCTTTTAGCAACAGTGCTGTGGCAGCGTGGAGGAAGGACAGTGAAATGGCACAGCTAGGTGACAACAAAACGGTTCAAACTGACACTGAAAATTCTGACCTTCCTAGCAAATACTAAATGGCAATAGTAAAAAATACTTTGTCAATGATTTACACAGTAAAGGGACAGTTGTAAACAAAACTTGTAAAATCTAATTCAAACGAACTACATTTTGAAAATTGATTGTGACGTTTTTCTTTCAGTCATCCAATAGAAAAGTAACCCACCTTTCTCTTCAAATCTAACCATAGAATGGCTTCTTAAGACTATGAGCATAGCCGAAGTTGATTGGGCGCTTGTAGCCGAAGTTCAGGGGACGGACATAGCCGAACTTAGCTGGGAAGCGAAGACCACCGTATCCGTATCCGCCGTAGCCTCCGTATGAGAGCCCGTGTCCACCGTATCCGCCTACTGGGATACCTTGGCTATAGCTCTGGGAACCTCTGTAGCCGTTTGGGAAGTAGAGGAGTCTTCCGCTGTTGTCTGGGGCAGGGTAGTACTTGGTGCCGGGGACAGCGGCGGCGATGGCAACAATGGCAATAAGGCAGGCGGCTTTAAGCATCATCTTGATGTTTTCGGTGTTCTGGAGAGCGTTCGGTGATTCAGGAGGCTTCTGACCATCCAAGTCAGATGCTCCTCTTATATACTTGACCAATGGTTAATACATCGCGTGGTCAGAGAGATTTTCAAGACAACACGTATTATATTGTTAGCGTTAATGACACGGTACATGGCCAGTTGCTGTGAGAATGTGCTGAATGCTTGTTAGTGAGATTTGAGATGATTTTCAGAGATTGACGTTCAAAATAGCAACTCAAGATGCGATGGAAGAAAAAAACATTTTCCACAGTGATAAAAAAGTTCGCGATTGTATCTATATTGTAAGTCATTCATAAATATGTAACGAGAATGACAGAAATAAACACATGGTCATTTTCACATCATATTGTCATATTGTTAACGACTATTTAAGCTATTTCTCTTATTAAGAAAGAATAACGTATTGTAGCAAAATCGAAAATAATAATGTGTGTAAAAACATGATTACCTAAAGATCCTAGCTTGAAAGGTTTTGTAGTAAATTACAAAAAAATTATCAAAACAATGTCCATTGTAACTAAAGAACGCTGCGTTGTTCTATCATGGTAAATGACTGATATATTTATGAACATCTATGATTAATTCTAGTGATGGACAATAATTTAAAACCATTCAAGTATTTATAATCACTTATGATTAACTATAATAGTATCCATTTGCCAGCTGCAGCAAAATGTGCAAGAAAACAATGTGCAAGTGTCTATACCACTTAATGTATCACAGTTTTTAAATGATTTGAATTGGCACCTTGGCGTGTTCTTGGACAAGAAGCATTTGTTAGCTAACAAGACATCGAAAGACCAAGGCAATTGTTCATCGTATAATTAATCTGTCCCAGT